AAATAATAGAGGATCAGATCACATTATGGTAGGTTTGCCAACAAGCACACAATAAGAGCAACTCTTGGCCTAATAAGCTTTAACCTAATTAGATAGAAAATTATTTGTGATATTTTGGGAAACCTTATGGCTTCTTTACTTTTTGTTACCAGTTGTGTCTCCTCCCCATTTAATTTCTTCATAGGATTAGATATATTTGATTTATTCAAACATTGATAATAATTTCTTATTTTAAATCCCTGACCTTTTAAAACAGCATGAAAATACTTCATATCTAAACATAAAGATCAGCAGCATTAAGCATACATTTGAACTTAAAAATATGAAATTATCATATTTTGACTATATAAAAGTGACAAGGAGAAAAGGAGATTGTAAAAAGCTGTGTTAGTTATTAAATGTTGAAAATATTTTTTTTTAATCCAGAATTTGTAAAATTTCCCCATGTCTTTAGAACATTGTCCATTTTATTTATAAAATTATCTCTGGAGGTAGATGAACTTCTGTCTTATTTAAATAGGAAAGTATCATATTAAAGAAAACTCAGTTTAGACATCAGAATTCTTCTTTGGTATAAACTTGAGCTTTCTGAAATTAATATTCCACGATTGCAGAAAGTTTGTGGCCAGAGCATATACTCAACCTAAAGGCAGATTCTGCTTGAAAAATAGTTTTATGGGGTTCCATGAACTGATTTGGGGTTTTATTTAGGTGTTTTAAAAATATTATTTCCACATTACATTGGGTCAGTTTACAAGTACAAAGACTGGTTGTTTTTTTTTCTGAGTAGCCATTATTACTTAGTCTGATATTTGAAATGCCACCTTCTGTCTTACACAGTATCACCTGCAATACTATTATGTGAGTTAATTCTTATAAAACAGTATTTTCTGGACCAACATTTCTATGGTAGATATCTAAGCAGAAAGGACCTAAACCTCTCATAACTGCTGGCTCTGCAGTTTTTCAAATTGCAAGTGATACAACAATGAACAGCTGTGATTATAAGAAAGTCTTTTTTATATAGCTGTTTTTCAGACTTGGATCCGCTTTTTTTTTTCTTGTTTTGTGTCCAGTATTGATTAAACCAAGGTCAGACCCAACCAGCATGGATTAAACCATGGCCAGACCCATGTATCAGGAGCATGATTTTAAGTTGACCATTGCTTCTAAAATGTACATTGCATTTCCAATAATAAACTTTATCACTGGTTGTCTAGAGAATACTTTTAAAATGTACTATTATATTACAGGCCAGATTTATAAGATTATGTTCTGCATTGTCCTATATCTACTTAATACATCCAAAAATCTACATTTTGAAGATATATATGAAAGATCCTAAAAAAACAAAGCAAGAAAAATCAACAAATTGAAATAGAAACATCTACGTGGTATAATATCCTGATTTATGTTTAGTCTTAAAACAATGACTATTAGAACATAACTAGTGAAGAGTCATTGTTAAAATTATGAGTCAGGTTCATCATTTCTCTCTCCTACTGCTGTGCTGTGCTCTGGTGATGACTATCTGTAAATGCCACTTTACTGGATTTAAGTCATCTTGAACTACCAGGGCATTGCAAACCAGCCAGCATGAAACCTGCAAATCCAACCTGTAACGTCTTCTCTGAACCAAGCTTTATCCTTTTAGACCATTAAGGATTTCATTCTGTTTGTCATGAAGGATCAATCTAATCAAGAACACAAGATTTTACACTTGTTCACTTCTTTCATGTTCAGAAATATATTTCACAAGTGAAAGGATATATTTTATGTTCAGTTTTCATTTAATTTAGGAAAAGAGATCATTGGACCTCAGAAGAAGAATTTGTAATGGATTATACACTAGGGAACATGATAGTCAATAAATTAGAGTTTCCATATATTTCACACAGAGTTAGAACATGTAATCCAGTGCCCTACATTTGGAATAAAACTGTATGGGTTCTTACTTGACACAGGAAGGTATACCTTACTAAACAGTTGTTCCTTTGAAATGCAATTAGATCTTTGAAACTCCATGCAGTTGAATAAATCAGTATCCCTTACCAGTTTAATTATCTATGTACTATTTGTCTGTATACAGCAGAGTGTTATGCAGCACAATGCCAATTAAAACTGATTCTTTGATCACCAATAAAACATTAAAGGATCATTATCTGTAACTGTATGTCTGAGAAGAAGAGGAAGGTTGGGTAGTACCTGTATAGCATTGACTGGAGGCTCAGGATGTCTAAGGTCTAAGTAGTAACAGTGGGGAGGGGGGGGAGCGGGCAGGGGGAGGGTGGAGTGCAAGCATTGGTGGAGGAATGCATTTAATAGTGGAAGATAAGTGTTTAAAGATGTGTCATGTGCTCTCTTTACTTCAAACTTCCCAGTGTTAACTAGCATGCAAAATAAGCAGAGTGTTGACTCTAGACCACTGTTCCCAGGAACACTCACTCTGGGATGTATTTCATTGATTATATGACCTCTTGGTCCTGTCTTGTACTCAAAAGCCCAGGCTGCATTGCTTACTGAGATAGCCCAAATGCTTTCAACTCTCAATGGTTTCAAGCACAGGAGGCATTAGGTATCTCTTCAGTTCTTGGGAGGCATTAGGTATCTTTTCAGATTGAACTGGGAACGGGAGAGATGTGGTCTAGGTCAGGGTAGCTGGCTCTATGATCTCCATTTCTCCTTATTTACAAAAGAGTGTTCCACATAGTGCACCACAAAAAAGTGAATATCTGGGGAAGACAGGGGAAGAGAAGAACTTACTGAAGTTTTGTGTTGCAGGACCCCCTCCAGCAGCTATTATTTTTTCAGGCCTTGGTAGCTGTATTTTCTTTTCTTCAGTATTCAGTAGGCTAGGTTTCATGTCATGTGAGTACAGCTTTGGAGACAGAGAAAAAATGGCAGATTATTTTTATTTCTGGTTAGGCACAGGCATAGGCCTGGGTTAGCAAAAGTGAAAATGAAAATAAGTAAAAATATATGATGAGGTTTCCAATTGCAGAACCACCACAAGTTTGCTTAAATCTATGGAAGCTCCATGACTGTTTATTTGAACTATTTTAATTATTAGTCCTGTCAATAATAGAATCCATCAAGTTATCTTCTCAAAGGGAAGTGACATAACAGCATTGTGCATGGACAACAAGATAGTTTGGTAGAATATTGCATAAGCTAAGTGACAACTAGATTTGTTTTATAATAAATCCTACTTCAGTCAGAAGCAGAAGATATAGCCATGTTAAAAGGGCAAAACCATCAATTCACCATAGAACAGATAGGAAACAATCTCTGCTTTACTGAAAAGGAAGTTCTCTACGGTCAGTGGTAACCTCAACTAATATAGATTCATAGATGCTAGGGTCGGAAGGGACCTCAATAGATCATCGAGTCCGACCCCCTGCATAGGCAGGAAAGAGT